TCTTTTTACTCTTCCGGTAAAGTCTTTTGATGAGCATAAGTGTTTGATTTTTAGAAGCTCCCAGTTATCTAGTTTCTCTTCTGGTGTTTGTGTATTGTTAGTAATGTTTTATATTCTGTTCGTGCCATGTATTAGGGCTTCTAGCGTTGTCCCTATTTTTTCTTCTGTGGTCTTTATCATTTTTGATTTTATATTTAGGTCTTTGATCATTTTGAGTTAGTTTTTGTACATGGTGTGTGGTATGGGTATTGTTTCATTTTTTTGCAGATGGATATCCTATTATGCCAGCACCATTTGTTAAAGAGACTGTATTTTCCTCAGTTAACGGGCTTTGGGCCTTTGTCAAATATTAGCTGCTCATAGGTGGATGAATTTATGTCTGGATTCTCAGTTCTGTTCCATTGGTGTATGTATCTGTTGTTGTACCAGTACCAGGCTGTTTTGACTACCGTGGCATTACAATAGGTTCTAAAATCAGGTAGTGTGAGGCCTCCCACTTTGTTCTTCTTTTTGAGTAATGCTTTACTTATCCGAGGCCTCTTCTCTTTCCATATGAAGTTGGTGATTTGTTTCTCCATCTCATTAAAAAGTGCCGGTGGAATTTGGATCAGGTTGCATTGTATCTGTAGATTGCTTTGGGTAGAATTGACATTTTCACAATGTTGAGTCTTCCTATCCATGAGCAGGATATCTTTTTCCACTTATCTAGTCTCTTTTGTTTTCTTTCAGTAGTGTCTTGTAGTTTTCATTGTATAGGTCTTTTATGTCTCCAGTTAGATTTGTTCCTAAGTATTTTATCTTCTTGGAGGCTATTGTAAATGGTATTGATTTGGTGATTTCCTTTTCGAAGTTCTCTTTGTTGATGTAGAGGAATCCAACTGATTTTTGTACGTTTATCTTGTCCTGAAACTTTGCTGAAAGCTTCTATTAGTTCCAGTAGTTTTCTTGTAGATTCTTTGGGGTTTTCTGTGTATAAGATCATATCATCTGCAAATAGAAATACTTTGACTTCTTCCTTACCAATTTGGATGAGCTTTTTTTCTTTTTGAGCCCAATTGCTCTGGCTAGGACCTCCAGCACAATGTTGAATATGAATGGTGATACAGGGCATCCTTATCTGGTTCCCATTCGCAAGGGAATGCTTTCAGACTCTCCATTAGGATGATATTGGTTGTTGGTGTTGTATAAATGCTCTTAATTATGTTAAGGAATTTCCCTTCTATTCCTAATTTGCTGAGAGGTTTTGTCAGGAATGGGTGTTGGACTTTGTCAAATGCTTTTTCTGCATCAATTGATAAGATCATGTGGTTCTTGTCTTTTGTTTTATTTATGTGATGGATTACATT